ATAGAATGGAGTAGTATAATATAGTTTAGGTAGTAGAGTACAGTGTAGTAACCAGTAGTAAAGTACAGTATAGAATGGAGCAGTATAATATAGTATATACCTAAGTAGTAGAGTACAGTGTAGTAACCAGTAGTATAGTATAGTACATAATGGAGTAGTATAATATAGTTTAGGTAGTAGAGTACAGTGTAGTGTAGTTTAATTCATAAGCAGCAAAACAGTGCAGTTCTATACAGTCAGAGCTTTTGCTGCTACATACCTACTTGTCCTGTATAACCAATAGCTTACTGCATGGTGGTTTATGTTAGCACACTTTATAAGGATGGAGTTGTATAACTGACATTTTTAAATCCCCAAACTTTAAAGGTCCATCTATCCGTGGCAACACAGTCTATTTGTCATCTGGATTATCATGAACTAGTCTTTGGAACCACGTCAAAGGGGGCGTTTCATTACTGAAGGGAGCCATTATCAAAAAATCTAAATCCAACAGAGACAGTATTGAAAACAGAATCAGCTGAGCCCAGTCGTCACATATTAGACATTCTTTCCTACTGCTCCTTTTCTCCATTTCTCCTTCAGCTTTTTCCAGCCTCCTAAAAGTGACTCAAGTAGATTTGGCAGCATGATGATGCATTCACTACCAAGCAGGAAAGCTCCCACAGCGACAACAATATTAAAACCTCGTCGCTGTGGGAGCTTGTGGCTCCTGAGGAGCGATGAAACAGCATACTGAGCTCAGTACAACGCCTCTGGTTCAAAGTGACACATCCATCCATGAGCATGAACTCCTCGTTCCAGGTGTAAAGCTATTACTCTTTATATATTAAAGATATAACATAAAGAATACATTTGTTTTCGCACAACAACATTTTAAAGATTGATATGAAATCACAAAACGTTTCATCAACTTTCCATGACTGGCTGAAGAGATGCCCAAACTTTGCTGTTCCTGTCAATGAATGTAACAAATTCCTTGTCTGTTATTACAGAAATCCATGAGCACTGTGAAGCCTACACATGACATATATGTGACTACATTTTCTTCTTCTCACATTATGCTTCTTGTTGACCAAATTCTTTACATTCCTTTTTGTGTTTGTGTTTTTTGTTCTGACTGAGCTCCATAGAGCCTTGTGTCTGAGTGTGTGTGGGAAGACTTGGAGGTTGCAGCATGAGAAACATGTAGTCTCAGGGTGCTCAGCCATGTAGGCATGCATCTGCTCATTGAGACATTAATTTGAATTTTTTATCATATATTTAAATTCATTCAATGAGCTCATGAGTACTCAGGATCGTGAAACGTATTCATGTCTTTATTACTT